GACTCCATGGAAACCACAAGAGATCTTAGGCCATGTCCAAGTCAATTGTAACATCTTATTTCTGAAGTCAACATTTACATATCTCACAGAACATAGAGAATTTGAATTGGTGCCTAACTGCAGACTTCAGCTCTGTTCACCACTGTTCATAGCAGTAGAAGGTACTTGGCCTGCTCTATAGGAGAATCAACCTAACAGGACACTGTGACCTACATTGGTGACCTGATTGTGAGATTGGATTTAAAGCGCACTCTATGAATGTAGCCCAAGCCTGAAACAACTACAGTCTGAGACAAGATAGGCCTTGAGATGATGGGAAAAGCAAATGTCTTAGGACTCTTTTACAGGGGTCACAAATAAGATTTCCTGGATGTCAGATATCTACATTATGATTCATAGAAGAAAAATAATTTTATGCTCATCTGTCAGCACAAGATGAGGAACAGTATTGACAGATTGCAGCGATTAGAAATTTTCGGACAACTGTGTAAATGAACATCACAACACAATAATTCTGAATGACATGCCTATATATGCACATTAATCTGTACCTCACACAACTATCATGAGTGAAGCTTTTTGCAAAATATGGGAGGTGATATGGAGACTCTCAAGTCTATCTAGCATGAAAGATGTTTGCACATTCAGTCGTAAATGTGTTGTCTCAGGAAAACATTTCCTCTGTACTCGGGGACAAATGCAGGAGAAGAGACAGAAAGATTTTAAGACACACAGATGTTGAATGACTACAAGGATAAAGTCTTTTTCAGACACAATAGGACTGGTGCACACATGAACCCACTAGACTGTGTAAGTAAATGTGGGGCTTGCACAGGTTCAAGCCGCAGGGGATTATAATACTGAGAGGGGGATTGGGCATGGACACTCAATACTAAATAAGAAACTATCTGCAATTGATACTTACATGCAAAGGAAAAATAATGTACTTCAGTGAAATGTTACTGGCTGTATTAAGCCTTCTTCACAGTAGGTTTTATGCCTAAGACCAATACAAAATAAGCACATTGTATATTTTATACATTTTGTCATACATAATTTCATTTAGGCATTTTTCTTGTTATTCTGTTGTTTGTATATAGTCATTTCTGATATGGTGTTTTGTGTGCTTGTATGTGTGTTTGTGTGTGTGTGTGCGCGCGCGCGCGTGTGTGTGTGTGTGTGTGTGTGTGTGTGTGTGTGTGTGTGTGTGTGTGTCTGAGAGAGTGAGTGATAGATAGAAAGAAAGAGAGAACTTTTCTTTTGGTATTTGGTTGGTAAGGAAATGAATGTGATCTAGGATTACTTGGGAAACTGATAAATTATGATCAGAAATTATTGTTTAAACACTAATATTTCATTAAAATATAACCTCCTACCAAATCATGTATCAATTGTAATTTGATAAATTAGGACAGTGTGGATAGGCAGAACATAGTTTTTTATGTTATTGGCGTGTGAATGAACAACCTGTTTGGTGTGTTACCAGCAATTACTGTCAGTTGCCTACTATACTATTGATCATTTCTGTCTTCCTTCTCTGACAATACCCAGGTAGGAATCTATGGATATTTCTACATGTTTCACTGCTCAGATGTTTTCTCAGAACATGTTCAGAGTCTTCAGAGATAAGTGCTCCCTTCCTGACTTAGTCAAGCATAGACACAGTCAGACAGGTCTCTGTTACTTACAGGAAAGATCATATTTCAATTGCCATTAGCACATTGGTTGCTATCCTATATGACATCATCAACATCGTTGTCTTCTCTCTTCATGGTCCATGTCTCTGCTGCAATCCTGGTGTCATTTCCAGTTATTCCACATGACATCATCAAGAGAGTCTTCATGGCCCATGTCTCTGCTGGTAATCTGGTGTCTTTTCCAGGTGGATCTCTAAGATTTGGACTCTTCCCACAGTTGTCCAATTTCACTTTCTCTAAGTAGAGCTGTCTCTCATTATCAGTTCTTGGAAACACAGACCTACTTCAATTCTAAATTCAAAATTGTTTCAACTACTAAGAGTCACCCAGGTTAAGTATGCATCAATATTTAATTATTTTTATTAATGTTCTCACTCTTCTGTGAAATTGTTGTGTACTGTTTTCCTTCCCATGTTGTATTGTGAATGCTTAGGCCTCTTTAGTTAGAATCAACAGCAGTCACCCATTTCAGCAATGCAGGGAAGAAACATCCTGCACACAAAAGCATCTACGATGTACTACATATATTGTACATGTGAGCTTGACTTCAACAACTCTTCTTTGAATACACGAGGCAGTCAAACCACTTACATACAGAAATGGAATATCGAGTACCATGAGACACTTGAAAGTTTTCAATGCAGGAGATACTTGTATGGGACTGAAATGCATTTGTCTCATAGTCACAGTACTTCCATCCAGACAAACCCATCTACAACTGAATATGCAGCATATTTTAGGGGTTATTATGTGTGCCTACAAGTCACACAGGTATATGCCTGTGGACAAACATATGATCTATATCTATATTTATATCTATATCTAATCTATGTCTATATACTGGTTCCCCTCACTCCTTGGAGCTGGTAGTGGATTATTCAGCTCCACAGCTGTCATTCACTAACCTTATAGCAAGTACATCCAAGTCTCTGAAAATCAATAGCCATGACTTTACGTGAATAAGAGGACACTGATCTTGGAAAAGCTAGATTCAGAGAGAACACAGCCACCATATAGAGCCAGAAAGGTTGATGAAAAAGGAATGAAAATCCCTTTTAAATCTTTACATAGAGGTGTACACCCCACCCATCATACAAATGATGAATTAGCAAACAGATTGCACCAAGTCTAAATTTCCATAAATTCTCTTCACTTCTCAAAGGTGAAATACACTCTGTAGTTGGGAACAGATCTGCACATACCACATTTGTTCATATTCCAGAGTTGTGAGTTTACTGTCCCAAGTGCAGCAGAAGGATCTGGGAAATTGCACTATAAAGCAATCCTGGATCCCATCCATCAATTGTGCTGTCTCTGTTCACTCCCTTCATCACCAGTGGTCACTGATAAAGCTTCGTCTAACAGCCCTAGAAAGGGCTGTGGTTCATGGAGACAGATTTTAAGGCACAGCTCATCATCCATGCATGAAATCTCTACTCAGCATCATCAGGCACATTACCAAGAAGATAAATAAAGAAGAGTCATAGTGAGGAGTCTGTATATTAGAACTCATACAGTCCTGAGAAGCAGCAGGGGGCGCTGTGGTTCCATCAATCTCTGGGAAGTAAAGGGCAGCAAAAGCAGTAAATGATGTTGTACATTGAGTAGATTTCAACAAACTCTAGATTTCATTGCCATTATATTCAGAGACCGTGCTGTAGCTGACATCTGAGATCTCCATGCTGCAGCACTGCAGAGGCTGTGTGTTAAATAAAATCCATAGTGACCAAGATCCAGAATGGATTCATACAGCTGCTGGATAGGATAATAGTTTATGAAAGAATTATCGGTAAAGGTTATGGGTAGTTGAGCTCCAGAACACTGGGCAACATTTTTGGAAAAGTGTCCCAGGTGTTCCTAGCTAACATCAGAGGTGAGCACATTCCTGCTGATCACTGGTGTGGAATGGACAGCAGCCTCCACAGCTCTGTGCCAGTGTCTGATGGGGCCAGTGTGGTCAATGTGTCACCTCAGCATCATAAAAATGGTTGACCATAAGGAGGTTCAGATGAGCCTTGAACCCTTGAAGTGTGGTTCACTCCAATGTACCCAGATGTGGTGACTGGATTCTCACTGGGATGGAAATGTGCTGTCTACACAGAGGCTGGGATTAAGCAAGGAATTTATTTCTCCAGACAGGTTTAGGAGTTGAACCTCATTCTCCCTGTCCCTGACTAACATGGAAAAACTCTACCTGTTCTGTCTCAAAATGATTATGTTTTCATGGACTAAATACCATTCCCCATGATTAGATAATTTACAGGGATATCCACACAACCAGCAGGACTGCATTAGTCCTCATTTGACCACAGTTCCTGAGCACACAAGTTCTCACAGTGTACTGAAGTAAGATTGTCCTCTACCTGGTAGCAGCTACTATAGGTAAATCCATTACCAGGAGCAGGGCTGATTGGGGGCAGAGACAGAAGTGATCATGCCATTCTTTCTGTATGGGATGTCCCTTGTTAGGTTCAGTTGCAGATGTTTGGAGTTGTACTGGGGAGTCCTGTAGATTCAGTAAAATTTTCCTGCAAGGACTTTGACAAAGATAGCTTCCCAATTTTGTATATGAATTGGCTGCAGCAAAACCTATACATGAGATAGCAATGGTAGGATTGATACTCCCAAGAATTGGCCAAACAAATTATTTACAGAACATTCAGGGCAGAGTCACACTGACTTCAGACACAATATCCAACACAGTCTACATGGAGCTCAGCAGGTTGAAATCTGAGGTCTCTGATGTCTATTACTGTTCAAACAACAGTGTCAAAGCACACATTTGAGGTGTGTCAGAAACCCTGAAGGGGTAGGAAACTAACTTGGGGTAGAGAGGACAGGGAATAATAACCTGAAGACTTTCTCAAACCTGTGGTCAAGTACTGAGGGAATGAACACACCATATGCAAGATTCAGAGAGCAAGAGTTTTAAATTAGTGAACTTGTTGCACACATTCTCTTGTAGATATCAACTTGAGTTTTTGTTTACCATATTTGAGTCAATACTTTATAGTAGAAATGTCATGATGTTACATCATCAGCATCTGCCCTGGAATCCAGGAAGAAGTAAATTATACTTTTCCTCAGAGAGGATTCAGACTTGGCCCTCAGCATCATGCTGTCTCTCCCAGGTGTCCACTACTTTCTTCTTTTCCAACTGGACTAGGTCCTAATCTAAGAATTACCCTGCTCATGAATATGCAAATCATGTGAGTCTATGGTGGTAAATACAGGGATGTCCACACCACCAACTACACATGATCAGTGTCCTCTCCACAGTCACTGAGCACACAGGTCCTCACCATGGGATGGAGCTGCATCATCCTCTTCCTGGTGACAGCAGCTACAGGTAAGGGCTCCAAGTTCCAGACTTGAGGAGGGGCCATGCACTCAGGTGACAGTGACACCCATTCTGCCTTTCTCTTCACAGGTGTCCACTCTCAGGTCCAGCTGCAGCAGTCTGGGGCTGACCTGGTGAAGCCTGGTGCCTCAGTGAAGTTGTCCTGCCAGACTTCAGGCTTCAACTTCATTAATAGCTATATGCACTGGGTGAAACAGAAACCTGGACATGGCCTGGAGTGGATTGGAAGGATTGATCCAGAAAATGGTGATACTAAGTACAACCAGAAGTTCCAGGGCAAGGCCACAGTGACTGCAGAGACATCATCCAGCACCACCTACATGGAGCCCAGCAGCCTGACATCTGAGGACTCTGCTGTCTATTACTGTGCAATCACATCCTGAATGTGGCAAAAACCCTGGAGGAGCAGGAAGCTGAGATGACACAGAAGTTCTGCCTGGGGACTTCATCAGGATTAATCAATCTGAGTGCCCTGTTGTCAGCCTTCTTCTAACAATCCTATAGGTTGTTTGTCAATTTTTCCAAATGGCATCTGAGAATGAAGTGATGTTGATTGACAGTGCCCTTCAGTCTATCACAACTTGATGAGATCTTTATCAGTGACCACCCCCATTGACACGATTCTTTTTTAATGAAACAGAAAATAAGAACCTGTGATTATATATTATGATGTGTGTGTGTGTGTGTGTGTGTGTGTGTGTATGTTTGTCCTTTAAGTCTAAGACACTTGAATTTTATTGAGAATATACTATAATATGAATTTGCCTAGGGAAATAAATTCAACAATAAAAGAACAGCCAAACCACCTTTAAAAATTCAGTTTGATGTACCTAACAGCACAGCAAATACTTTGGTGGAAGTTGTTTCCATAAATTTGTGGGGAGTCCCTTTACCATTCCTCATACTTCCAATTCTTACATAATCATTTATAGGTAACTCTAATCTTGGACTACTTATTTTAGTCGTAATCAAATTTCTTATCATTTGAGAGATGAAGATGGAACTAAATATCATACTTTGGAGTCCTCTGTGTATAGACTCTGTTACTTTGACAAAATTCTGGGCCCCTGCTCATGTAACTCTGGGCAAGATCAGGGGATTCTACACTTATTAATGGTCAAAGTGTTGTTGCTGTAATGAGGATACCAGGGTGTTCATTCACCTGTTTCCCAAAATAGGATTGTCTTTGTCAGAAGATTTAGGTTGATACTGACTGACGTTAACTGGACATCAGTGTACAGCACATGAAAACCTCACCACCACCCAACCAGCACATATACAAGCTATACAAGCTCACACAGAAACACAACCACACACAACACACACACACACACACACACACACACACACACACAGAGAGAGAGAGAGAGAGAGAGAGAGAGAGAGAGAGAGAGAGAGATTAGGTTTTAGAGCTGTCAAGGCACACTTACAACCTCTGTTGATTTTTGACACTGTTATAATTTTCACATATCTGTATCTAAGGAATCCTGACTATGTATGCTTTTTCAGTTTTGTTCTGTTTTAATTAGGAGAACACACATACCTTGGCTCTACAAAGGCTGAATATCAAGAAAAATAATTCTGCCATTTATAGCATGACTACATCTGACAATTTTTATTGCAGAAATTTCTTGTCCTCCAAGGCCAAGTGTCCTCCCAATGGTTTATGTGCAGCATAAAGGTTCATCACCATCATGAACTCTCTTGCTCAGATATAAACCACAGCCTCAGGATAGAAAGGAAAGAAGATTCCCTTATCTGTATATCCCTGGGAACTCTCAGCAGAAAGACTAACATTGATATGAAGGTTGGGTTGTTGTTAGATGTGAACTTGCTGGACTAATGCAAGGTTCATAGGGCTGACTTCTGTGGGGAGAGACTGGATTTCTCAAGAACAGTCAAAGCTTCCATTCTCCACAGAACTCCATCTTATGTCTACCCTGCTGCATTACAGTCACACAAGGTTCTTCAGACAACATTCCTGACCTATGAAGGATTGCTGATAGAGAATAAAACTGTCTACAAACATTTCAAAGCATTCCCTACGTGGGGTGAAAATAATCAATTGGAGACTATGCTCTGTCAAAGAAACACAGAGGCACACAGTCTGATATTGTGTATTATGATTTTCAAATGACAACAACTCCATATGATCAATAATGTTGCTAAGTATTTTTGCTATGAGGCATCAAAAAGGAAAACTAAAATAAATGATTCATTTACTTTTGTGATATTTGTTTTTGATTTTTGCAAAACATTTCTTTCATGCAATGTATTCTAATGAGATTCCATGCCCAAGTCCTCTCAGATATTTTCCATATTCATACCAGTAGCCCAAAACCTTTCTTTTTCTTAAAAGAAAGGAAACTAATATACAAAAAGAAAAGGTTTTAGAAAATGAAAAAAAGCCACCAGGAACACACACCTAGTAGATGATGAAAAAGAAAATATTAGTAGCTTATATTTGAAAGAAGAATGAAAATTCTCTGAATTTAAGAATTTTTGAAATATCCTTTCACAATTAACCTGATCACTACCACCACCTATTTTTTCTGGGAAAGGGAGGCTCGGGCAGGTAACCCTTATGCAGGTCAACGTACCTCTCAGAGAAGCCTGCATATTAGGCAACTCTGTGCGATGCCTTTGCTCAACACCCTCATTGGGCTGCTCAAACCAGACACTCTACCCTGTGCAATGAGCCTAGGCTCCGGGTGTGCAAGAGCTGTCTGGCCGGCGGCCTATTGCTTAAGCATTGTTAGCCAAATATCAGTGGAAGCGCTTGGGCGATCTCTCTTGGTTTGAGCCCTGGAGCTTACAGACCAGCCAAAAGTAACATCAATCCGCAAACGGCTGCATCAAACAATCCCACCCCACCCCTTTCTCATAGACCAGCCAGAAGTAACAGCAATCCGCCAAC